ACACGCCTTCTCCCATACACCACTGTACGTTACTAGTATGCTATGAAAAAAAAAATGAATACGAACAAACTTCAACTACTCTTAAAATACATGTCATTGCAATTAAAAATAGCACTCACCTAATAAAGATTGTGTTTCACAATTTAAAACAAAAATACCAATAAAAAACTAATACAAAACGCCGTCTACAGAACTCATGCACACGTCTTCGACCATATACGCACACAGCAGCGACAATTTTCGGAAAATAAAAAAACAAATAACTCATACAAAACACCCTCTACATAACTTTCGCACATGCATTCTCCCATAAACGCACACACCACCATATGTTACTAGTATTGTACGAAAAAAAAATCAATACTTGAGATAAGACATCTCAATTTTGCCATTTATTAGGATGTCGATGAGATAAAAATGCTCAATTGTGGTTAGTTCGTGCTATAATAACACTTGAATTGCAAACCTTTATTATTATTATTATTATTATTATTATTATTATTATTATTATTATTATTATTATTATTATTATTTAAAATTTATTTTTTCAACAAATCATCTTCTTTTATTTCGCACACACCACCGTACGTTACTAGTATGATACGCAACAAATAATATCGATACTTGACATAAGAAATCTCAATTTCTCCATTTTGAGAATGTTGATGGAATAAGAAATCTCAATTGGTGTAAGTTCGTGTTATAATAATACTACAATTTCCAACCTTATTATTATTATTATTATTTTATATAATACGCATACACCACCGTACGTTACTAGTATGGTACGGAAAACAAAAAATTGATACACACAAACATAAACTACTCTTCAAATATGTGTCCTTGAAATTAAAAATATATCACGCACTGACCTAATAAAGATTGTGGTTCACAATTTAAAACAAAAAAACACAAAAAAAAAAAAAAACTAATACAAAAACACAATTACTCTTGTCTGTCGTATACCTCTCTAATCACAATGTAATATTACTTATTACCATTCTTATTTAGTCTATTGTTATGCTAAATACTACATTATTATTCTAACCAAAAATAACAACACTAACACAATTACTCATTTCTCCTCATGCTTAAAATCTATCAATAATTAATTTCTAAAACTCTTTCAATCTCAGCCATCAATTTTAAATGAGTTAATGGTAGTGATGGGATCTCATGATCTCATTTTTAATAAAGACCTCATGGGAACCAAAGCCTATATATATATATATATATATATATATATATATATATATATATATATATATATATATATATATATATATATATATATATATATATATATATAGATTAACAATCATATGAGAACCTATTTTTAGGTAGGAAAGTAGGAACTAATCTAATCCATTTATTTGAATCAATCTACGATGTAGATTTAATTGTTTTAAAAGTTTTTGTTATACGCTTGATAGAGCCGTGTAGGGGTAATTTGGACAGTGGAAGTCATCTTGCGTGTGGCAGTGAGAGTATTGCGCTGAAACTTCGCTATCTCCCTTTTGTTGTAGTAGTTCACCGCAGGTAGTGTTTAGAGTCCAACAGAGCGTCGTCTTCGTCGATTGACTTCCCATCTGAGATGGCCGGCATCGTTGCTCAAAACCCTAAGCGCCCACGTCCGCCGCTGCTCTAGGTCAGTTTTTCCTTCTTCTTTTTTTGAATTTCGGATTCCTATGGGTTTTGTGTTCTTTTTTTTTTTTTTTTTTTTTTTTTTTTTTTTTTTTTTTGTATATGATTTGTGTATTTGTTTGATTTTGTTGAATTTGTTTAGCTGTGTGTTTTGTGTGCCTTGGTTTTTGAGAGTGGAGTTCGGTGTTGGGTCTGTGATGTTGCCGGTTTCTATGGTGGCTCTGGGGTTGCCGTCAATGGTGGTGTGGTGTAGCCGGATGCTATGATGGGTGGTGGTGTAGCCGGATGCCATGATGGGTTTGGGGTTGGGGTTGCTGTCAATGGTGGTGAGCCTCTCATCTCTCTTAGTTTTATTTGTGTTTTACGTTATTATATTTATCAACTCAACCACAATATAATTTATGTATGTATATATGGTAATCATCTTGCATGAATGAATGCAGCTTGGAGGTTTCTACATATGGACTTTTGGTTACCAAATGGTATGAAACTCTGCCAAGAAACTGCAAGCACAAGAAGCATTATCCCAGGCAATTAAGGAAGCAAACAACGACTTGGATGTAGATCTCAGGGCTCAACTCTTTCACAACACCAATGACCCTGAAAATTCGAATAATGTAAGCACTCTCTCTCATCTGTATGTAAAGGTTTAGTATTTAATCTGGCCATGCTTCATTCTAAGAATTTTAGGTGTATAATGGATCTGGGAAAGCAGGTAGGGAGCAAAATAGCAATCAAGACGACATGTCGTTCTTGAGTCAAATGTTGGGGGTTTTCAGAGTTAACACTATTATGTTATTAGTGTTGGCATTGTCCGTAAACGAATTGACATACTTGACAATTCATCTGTTACTAGTGACTAATGGGAACAAGTACGGGGCTACACCTGAGGTGCTAGTATGTGTTTGAATACCCAGTACGTTAAGTTTTGTTTGGTCTTCTTCTAGTCGTTTTGGGTAATATTGTTCTATACTATTGCTATTTGCTGCATATGCACATGCGTTTATTTCATTGGGCACACACTTGTATACTTAGTGCAGGGTGTCTTCAATTCGCCTAACGTTCTGGTATTCTGTTGGTTTTCACAGTATGGCACACACAGATAGTCTTATATGCTAATACTTCTTTTTATTGCATTTAATGTTCCATGTGTCCACCAACATGGCTTTTTTTTTTTTTTTTTTTTTTTTGTGGTGCATGTTTAAACTGTGGCTTGCTAACGCTATGTGCGCTTTGACAGAAAGATTTCTTGTCTGTGTTTCTTGATGATGTGGTTGATATATGGTATGGGTCAGTTGTACGGAGGATTATCCTTAAGAGAATGTAGATACGGTGGCGGGATGCGCAAAACAAAGTGGATCGTGGAGTCTTTGCTATGTGGCACATGGAGACCTTCTTGGGGCAATCAGTGAATGTGTGGGATTGTGGTCTGCGCAAGGGCGATAGTAGGGGCCTTGATTTATTGATGGAAAGTTATATGCGTCAAATTTTGTCAACTGAGTTGAACATACACCATTCCGAAAACATTCGAAGTGCATTGAAATACCGTGATTCCAGGGGTCAAACATAGATACGATTATTTGTGTGTAGCTAGATCATTATCTATTAAACTTTGTTAGTTTGGTATTTAGCTTATGTTACTAGGGAGCTTATTTTATTTATTCATTTGGCACATTTTATCTTAATCAAAGGGTGTTCCATTTTACACTCTACAAGTGCACATACCCACACCAGTACGTGCTCAAGAACTGCCTAGTGCGGGGGCACACTAAAATATTTAAATTTCACACCCTTTTGGTCTCAGGTGCTATCCTGTTTTTTGGTTTCCTGTTGATACTTTACTCAAGGTCTTAGGGTTCACGTGGATTCGTATGTGCCCTGTACACTATCTATCGGTGCACGCAGACACAGATGGCCAGGCCTTTCTATGCACTTCAGCATTGTAGGGGGTGCCATTGTGGCCGAAATTTTCTGGATTCCGCCTAGTATGGCACACTCTTTTTGTTAACAGTGCACACTGCCTAGTAGAAATTCATTTTCCCAAAAGTAACTTTCGAAACAGTTTTGTTTTAACGGATTCATGCCGATACGTATATGACTATGTTAAAACAATTTGGTAGACTTTTATTTGTACACAAATTCACAAACAAAGAATGAGAATATAACTGTGGGGAAAAGCGCTGAATGGTACACACTTTTGGGCTCAAGTGCTATTCTGTTTTTTGGTTTTCGGATGGTACTTTACTCAAGGATTTTTCTTGATCCATATTATTGCATTCGTGTATGAAAAATCGAGTTCCATCATTAAGTCTTAGCGATAGGTACATGGGAGTGTAAGTCCGGGGGGGGGGGGGGGGGGCATGAGAGAATCGTGGCACACTCTGTTTAATACAGGTGCACCCTACCCAGATTGGCACATCCATCGCAGCACAGGGGCACATATAACCATCATGGCTATGGTTATTAGGGCATGAAAAAAATCGGCAATGCTGCACTCGTGTGATTAGGCATGTATACTTACGGGGGAGGGGGGGGGGGGGGGGGTAGTTGTGAACATTAGGTTCACGTGAATTCATATGTGCACTCTAGACTATCTGTGGGTGCATACAACCACGGATGCCCAAGTCGGTTTGTGCACTTCAGCATCGTAGGGGGTGCCGTTGTGGGAAAAATGGTCTGGTTACCTCCATTGTGGCACACTCTGCTAAGTACCGATGCACACTGCCCAATACAATTTATTTGATTAGAAAGCAACTCCCAAAACAGTTTTGTTTTAACGAATTCATGCCAACACTTATATGACTATGCTAAAACAATTTTGTAGACAATTTTTCGTACACAAATTGACTAGTAAAGAATGAGAATATAATTGTAGTGGAAATCTCAGAATGGCACACACTCTTGGTCTCAGGTGCTTGTTCGTTGTTTGGTTTTCGGTGGCTATTGTACTACAGTTTTTTTTCCCCATACCTTATTATTGCCTTCATGATTTGGCACACTCTGATTTCTACAGGTGCACTCTGCCCTGTTTGGCGCACTAGTGGTAGCGGACCCAGGTCTGTTTGTGCACTTAACGATTATAGTGGGTGCCATTGTGACCAAATTGGCCTGTATTCATCCGATGTGGCACCCTCTGTTCAATATAGGTGCACACTGCCCATTACAATGTATTTTTTCCATAAGCAACTTCAGAAACAATTTGGTTTTAACGAATTCCTGCCGAATCGTATATGACTATGTGTAAACTATTTGGTAGACAATTATTCGTATATAAATAGACTAATAAAGAATGAGACGAAAAAAAAGTAGTGCACAAGCCCCGAATGGCACACACTGGTGATCTCAGGTGCTCCGTGTCAGCGCATGGGCTCATTCGGTTTGCCACGTCTGGTTGCACTCTGTTTCTTGGTCTTCGGGCGGAGCTCGCAGTTGCGGCTATCATGGTATCTATATTTGTTGCAAGTCCAACACTTCCTTGCATCCTTTGCAGCTTGTTCTGATGCAATCTCCTTTAATGATTTCAATCGCTTTCCTGATCCTTTGTTCTTTGCGGTGGCGGAGGGTGAATCACGATGTTCGAGGATGATGTTGAAGCTACGAATGATACCATTCTTCCTTGATCTAGTTTCCACTTGGGGCATGCTTTCTATTAACCTCTCTTTATGCTCTTTCAGTAGTTTTGCAAGCTCTGTTATTCTGTCGTTGTTTCCATACGCGAACCTAACACACTTGAAGAACTCATCAAATACGCTACCCATTCGTGTACTCCCATCAACAGCTCTGGTAGGACTGCCCATTTCAGGGTTTGCATAAAGATGTGGCGTAAGTTTTGTAGAACTCAATTCCTCCTTCCAATGTAGTGAACACTTGTCCGGCGAAAGGCTTTTTGGCTTCTTTGCACTATGGAGTCCAGTACTTCGTTGCTCCGGGTGAGATATTCATCAAACACCCGGTTGACTCCATTATTAAGCCGGCTTCACCTGTCAGGGATTGCATAATTATTAGTAAAATATGCAGTAAACTTGTGTGGCACAAAGTTTATAACCAACATGCACGCTCAGTGTGTTTCATCATCCTGTTTGGCACATTAATCGCACCACAGGTGCACATGCACCCTTCACAACTACGGTTAATACAGCATTCTAAAGGTCCCAACAATGCTCCATCTTTCTGAGTAGGTATGTGCACTTATAGTCGATGGACTTCGTACATAAGGGTACACATGCTTAGTATGTGCACTGCGCCATAAACGTGGGGGCACACAGCCACCTATGCCCAAGTCTGTATGTGCACTTCAGCATATTAGGGTGTGCCGTTTGGGAGGGTGAACCCAGATTGGGAGGCCATGAACATTACTGTGCCCGCTTGCGATTCCTCACCGTGCTGTGGGATTTAATGCAATCTCTGAGTGCATGCTTACACACTTCATTACCGGTCCCTATCAATTTCAATTATAAGCACAACCATGATAACGTATTCTTATATAGAACTTACTGTCTTGGTATTGTGTTGCCTTCATCCAGAGCGGCGAAGAACTCTTGGTCCACGGCTTCGACTACTTTGGGGTGCACGGCTCCGGCAGAACTTCGCAGGCGTTAGTCGGAGAGATTTCAGTAGCGGTGTTTCATTCGCCGAATTAGAGATAGATTACAGAGTGCCGAATCATCTTCTTCTCCTAACTTTTTGGAATAATTTAAAATATAATATTAATTATTAATTCTTGGGTGCTGGAAATTACTCTAGTGTCCCTTGTAATTAATTATATTAATCGTGTCCTTATTTCTATTAATTAATATAAACCATTGATCGGATGGGGTTCAAAGGCTTAGATTAGTTCTTATGTTCCTATCTAAATATGGGTTCTTACTTGAAGCCAATGTATGTATGTATGTATGTATGTATGTATGTATGTATGTATGTATGTATGTATGTATATGTGTATGTACACGTATGTACATACATACATACATACTATATATATATATATATATATATATATATATATATATATATATATATATATATATATATATATATATAAATTAACAAATCTAGCACGCAACATACAAACTGTGGCACACGACTACATTCGGCCATGCACACAACATACCGGCTAATGGCACACACTTCATCTGTCCTCACAGTCCTCTATAATATACTTGTCCTCATTTGAATACACACACATATATATATATATATATATATATATATATATATATATATATATATATATATATATATATATATATATATATATATATATATATGTATGTATGTATATGTATGTATATGTATATACCTATACATATATATATATATATATATATGTATGTATATGTATATGTATATACATATATATACATATATATATGTATAGGTATATACATATACATACATATACATATATATATATATATATATATATATATATATATATATATATATATATATATATATATATATATATATATATATATATATATATGTATGTATATATATATATATATATATATATATATATATATATATATGTATATGTATGTATATGTATATACCTATACATATATATATGTATATATATGTATATACATATACATATACATACATACATATATATATATATATATATATATATATATATATATATATATATATATATATATATATATATATATATGTATGTATATGTATGTATACACACACACACACACACACACACACATATATATATATATATATATATATATATATATATATATATATATATACATATGTGTGTGTGTGTGTGTGTGTGTTCACATGTGGATCACAGTATATAGAGTACTGTGCGGACGAATTTCGGGCATACAACAAATTAGTATCATGCACACAATGAAATACACAATGGCACACAAGAATACATGTATACATCAGATTTCGAACTCATACTCTATTAGTCAACAAATCTACACACTACATACAAATTGTGGCACACGACTACACTAGGCCAGACACACAACATACAGACTAATGGCACACAACTACACTAGTCCGCACAGTTCTTTATAATATAGTGGTCCTCATTTGAACTCAACTATATATATATATATATATATATATATATATATATATATATATATATATATATATATATATATATATATATATATATATATATATCCCCACACCCCCAACATAGCTTATAATAAGTGGATGTCATGAATTGGGATCGTACGAACTTATTATCAAAGACTAAATTATCAAATGAAAAGTGTCATGATAAAAGGGTGATTAGGACCTTAAATTGAATGACTCATAGTCCTAGTATCCGGGATGTTTTCTACTGTATACTCTCAACACATAGGGTATTTATCCCACAATATTCAAATACTCCAAAAGTATCAAGATAACATAGTATCCTCCAAAATAATATGTATATCAATTATCATTGCGCATAAGCTATCAAAATATCATTTCCTCAATATCGGAGTTCTCATCGAACCCTATAATATTACTATAAATCATATATCTCTCAAAAGGTATTGAGAGCCTTTATTGCAAGTGGGATCAATCTTACAATGATCTTCCCAAATTTTTGCATTCCGTCCGTCAAAGCAACCCAAGGGTGGGAGATAGGTAGTTGATGAATGTCTTAAACTCATACTTTTTCCTTTCACATTTTGGTATTTTTACTTGTTAATCATTATATTATGGAGTCAATTTGGTCACTTATGGAATGATTGTTTGTTCTTAGGTGACTTGACAAGTAAATGATGTTTTGAGCCAAAGATTGAGCTAAAGATATTTTTGTGAGGCAAAATGAAAAGAAGAAGATTTAACAACACTCTTTCATGTGCCAAATATTTTTGTTTTAGTGGTCTTGGTGATATAGGCAATTCAATGTAAAGGCAAAGCAAAAGATAGCAAGGTGACATTTATTGCCCAAATTGGCGTTGTCTCGGTATTTTGACCATATCTCAGCGTAGGAGTGTCTGAATCAAGTGATTCTTGTTCCATTTGAAAGCCAACTTAAAAGGCTAATAACTTTAATAGAGACCACAAAGACTAATTCAAAGGTTTTGAGGGTGAAAAATATCATTGTAGACATATATTAGGCACATGAATTCTGCCTGGGCACGAGTCCAGGCACACCCTTGCCTAGCTAGACCCGTGGCCACAAGGCAGTGTGCCTTCAATTCTGGGCACGGATATAGGCACACCCGTTCCAGTACCCGTGGTCAACCTCTGCAACTTTTGACAACACATTTTTACCCCTTTAAAAGGGGATTTCTTCTACCCAAAAACACATCCTTCATTTTCCTTTCATTCCTTAGTTAGGTTTAGCTCTAGAATAGCTTAGATTAGTGTAAATTTCTTGTTCCTTTCCATTTTCAAGCTCAAGAACACTTTGCAATCTTGGATTTCAAGGCTTCAATAGAGAAGTTTTATTATTCATATCTTCTCTTTACTTTTCATCTATGCTTTCAAATACTCTTTTAATATTGTGTATGTATTGTTATATTATGAGTAGCTAAGTTCTTTGGGACTAGGATTTGGTTTGATTTCTTGCAATTGATGCCTATTTGAGTTGTATTGCATAAAGAGGATTATTTAGGTATTCTAGGGTTTGTTATGTGAATTGGGTTTGTTGTGAAATTGTGTATAATTGTTGGATCCCAATTATATGCTTTATTTGGAGTGTGTTTCTTGATACGAGAGTAGAGCTTGTACACTAGCCACATATTCACACACTTAATACCCAATATGAGAGTATTTTGGGTGTTAAGGGGAATCTTTGCCTTCTGTTTTTGTTTGAGCATACTTGGGTTGAATTGCAACAAGAGTGGAGTTCAAGGTGAAGTTGCAAGTCTGAATAACTACGAGAGTGGTATTTGGACACTTTTGTGTATCTCACTTATGCCTTGATTTAATTTCTTAATCCTTAGTATAATATTTGGCATCTTAGCTTGAATCATCCAAGTCCCAATCATTTGTTTTTATTGTCTTATTTGTTATTTGCTAAATTATATCAAACCAACTCTTTATCGATAGGCCTAGCTTCTATAAGAATAGTTTTAGCTTGTGCTTAACTCCACGTTGCATCAATTCCTAACATTATAAGAGTCATATCTAGTAGAACGATATCTAAAAGCTATAATGTGATTTGATACTCGATGGATGTGTGAAAACCGTCCTGATCAGTAGTTCTGTAACGTGACGATACAGTTCCAGAACAAGAGGTTGAAGTTGTTGTTTGGAGGCAGGTAGTTCTGTAAAACAAAGAGACTTCGACTTGGCAATGAAGACTATACAAGAGATGTTTCAAAATGCATATCAGTACTTGGCAGGAATTCCATGGACACAGATTTGACATTTTGACAACCAATATTTCTGAATCTTTCAACAATATACTAAAGGGTTGTCGAATGTTACTTCTCACTGCTATTGCCCGACTGACTTTCCACAAATTAGTAGCTATGTTTCAAAATAGGCATTACGGCTGGTGAGTTAATGCAACAAGCTGGATTGCGTTAGCCAACCAATGTTGATAAGGAGATATCCGCTCGGCAGCGGTACAAGTCAATGCAACCATTCGCTCATATAACAACCAAAGAGGGATATATGATGTAGCACTTGAATCAACTTCTAGTTCTCTGGGACAACCACACTATGTTAAGGTAAATTTGACTGACCTGACATATAGCTGCGGTCGTTGGGCTGTAGATGGCTTATGTTGTGACCAAATTAAATTTGACAAAAATTACAGAGTTAAGGTACTAAATTGACACTTTTAAAAGTCAGGGACTGAAATTAACAA